TTTACCCTAACTCCGTGTCAAAGTTCTCTTATAACTAAACTTAAGCTATTCTGTCCTCATGTAAGTGCGTTTGTTACGCTCACGACTTATGTTTGTGATTTAATTTAAACTTTTAGTCTTCGATAGTGTACGAGATGTAGTTTCGAATGTAGGGCAGCCTTGAATAGCTGAATTGAGGCAAATACCTTAATTATTGTTTATGGGTCAGCATAATGCCATTCGAATTAAACTGTAGCTGTTGTAATTGTACTTTAAAAAAAAAAAAGTTTTATGTATTAAGTACTATTTATTCATAAAGATAACATTTTAGTGACCGTCAGGACGGCTGGTCGCCTGTGGCGCCTGGCACTGAGTGTATATTCGAGAATTGCTACCTATTTGCTACCTTTTCTGAATAATTGCTACCTATTATGTACTCTGAGAAATTAAAAAAAAATTTTGACCAGCCATTCTGAGGTCAGGATGGCTGGCCGCCTCTTTGTTCAGCATGAAGGGAGCAGATTTCCCAGAAGTATGTATTACCAATAATTGCTACCTATTTGCTACCTTCACGAATTAAAGATATACGCTTCATATCTATATTAATTAAAAAATATAATCGACTGAAAATTTTGCAAAAAGTGCCTGACTAGACTAAAAAAGCAAAAGTTTTTAGTGCTTTATTGCCATAATATAAAGGGCAGGCGTTCAACAATTACTTCGAGGTGAACTAGTCTGGTGAGATTGCTAATGTATAAAACCAAGAGGGTAGGTAACCATCATAACGCAATATTAACAAAGAATTTAGTTGTACATAATTATATATTTGTTAAAAAATTATATAGTTTTAATTTTTTAGCAAAAGTATGAACAATATCTTTATCGTAGTTTGTTACAGTGCACTTACACAGGGCTATTTTATTCGAAGGTCAGTTAATTATAATTTTTGTGTTAACCTCACATTCTTTGCAAATTCCATTGCACGTTATTTTATTATTCTTAGAAATAGAATACTGTTTAAATATCCAACTGTGTGCAATGGGATGAACCTCCCAAATCTTTTCGCGCAAAAGATGGGCGCACTGATGCTTAGGGAAGCGATGTTTCATTCTAAATACAGTATCAGGTCCATGATTTAATTTTATACGTTTACTTAACGGTTGCATTCGTTCCCACTGATAGGTATCAATAATAAAATTATAAATTACTGTTTCACTGGCTGCTACTTTGTCCTTGTATTCCTTGATCTTCATAACTAACAGCAGGATTATCACGGCCACTGATGAAAAAGTCGAAATTTTTCTATACAGAAAGGTAAAGTGCCTGTTTCAAAATTTTATGTGATAAAAGGGTACTAATTTCATTTAACAGTGGATCGTTAGGCGGCGGTAAATCAGATTTACCGGAAAAATATTTTGTTTTGCAGTAGCATTTGAGCATTTTTTTGCTCATCGAGTGGCACAACAACCTTCCTCCCTCTTTTCATTGTCACCAAACACTACTTAAACCAGAACAATAAATATTAAACTAAATATTAGCAATAGCAAAACCTTTGAATCCTCAGATAAATTAACCTATAAACAATTTGATCCACTTATGGCAAATGACACAGATATTGCGTTATGATGGTTACCTACCCTCTCGGTTTTATACATCAGCATCCTCACCAGACTAGTTCGCCTCGAAGTAATTGTTAAACGCCTGCCCTTTATATTACGGCAATAAAGAACTAAAAACGTTTGCTTTTTTAGTTTAATCAGGCACTTTTCCGCAAAATTTTCAATCGGTTATATTTTTTAAACTAATTTAGATATGAAGCGTTTACCTTTAATTCGTGAAGGTAGCAAATAGGTAGCAATTATTGGTATACTTCTGGAAAATCTGCTCCCTTTATGCTGAACAAAGAGGCGACCAGCCATCCTGACGTCAGAATGGCTGCTCAAAATTTATTTTTAATTTCTCAGAATATATCATAGGTAGAAATTCTTTACAAAAGGTAACAAACAGTAGCAAATAGGTAGCAATTCTTGAATATACACTCAGTGCCAGAAGCCAAAGGCGACCAGCCATCCTGACGGTCACACATTTTACCATTGACCTGTTAACAAATGGACGACGGGTCTAATAAAAAACCACAAAAAAATATGACCAGAATTAATCTATATAAACGTAGTGATATGTAAAGAAATATAAAAAATTAAACATTTAATTTAAATTGTACTTGACCTAAAGAATACACTTCCATTGCAGTGCTGCTTAATTTTGCTTGCAACAACTGAATGAAAGACCCAAGAATTCTCATTTTCAGCTTGTATTGGACACTTAACAAAATGCACCATAGTTCAAACTACTTGGACACAAGAGTAATAGTGGCCTTTACTGTCAATATGAATTAATTTATATATTAATAATATGTGGAATTTTGTACAAATTCACTTAAAGCAATAACAAAATATTATAAATGTGAAAATAACTGCGTCTCTCTGTTTGTTAGTTAAGACGTACCTACTATAAGAAATGTATTGATGTTTCGAATTTCTGGATTCCAACTGAACAACGTAAACTCAAACTTTCATAATCTCGACACGACCACAGATTTATAACAAAACCGTTATACTTTCAGGGAATATAGGTTGCTTATCACAAAGAAAAACTAGCGTATTTAAAATATACGCGATTTAAATCCGGAAAAATAGTTTCATTTCCTATGTGTAACAATTGCGAAAATCTAAGAACTCGATATGATATATCCTGTTTTTTTTACTTGAGTAATTTTTACAAGTTTTTTACTATACAATATGGCATGACACAAGCGCACTGTCGGTCAACCAAACGAAGACGGACGCGCGATTGATGCTTTGTTTGCGATTTAATGCCTTATAATATGTACGTTAGGACACGACGCCGACGTCCGTTTGTTGGGGTCATTGCATCTTGCGTTTAATATTTTTGAAATCTCTTAATTTGAGATGTTGAGAGATTTAAATGCTTTCTTTCTCATTAGAAATTTGCGCGTAAAATCGTTTTTTGCACGAGGTTTTTGAGATTCGAACTTGACGATGGACTGTGGTGTGGTAAACCAAACTTTTCCTTTCGATGAAAAAAAAGATAATGTTACGTTCAACTACGCGATTTGTCGTATGTTACTTATTTATGTAATATAGATCCGTTGGTATATTTTGTTCTTATTATGGTTGACCATGTTAACTACTTGTGTTTATTAAATTATTTTAATTCGTAAAGTAACTAAAATAATTCCAATAATCATTTAATCAAAGCAAGCAAATACAAGCAAGAATAAAAATTGATGAGGTTTAAATCCAGAACGCATCCGAAGATCAACTTTTTTTTTTATTTAAAAAAAGTGATGTTTTAAAGTTCAACATTTTTCTTTCATCCATTGACTTACAATTATATGGACATTCGTCGTCGAGCGTCATTCACGCTTTAGTCTTCGTTTGTTTCTTCTGACAGCGAAGCAAGCAAAATTAGACAGTACTGCGATGACATTACAATTTAAATTCAACGTTTTAGCTTTTTCATATTCCTTTACATGTCACTACGTTTAAATAGGTTGACTTGGGACATCTTTTTCGTGGTTTTTGTATTAGACCCGTCGTCCATTTATTTGTAAGTCAATGCTTTCATCTATCATTTTCCTCGCTGTAGTGAGGAGAAAAGTTGTGTTTCGCTCGCCAGCAAAATTGTTTTGCGTCTCGTGACTTGAAACTCTCGCTACGCTAAGGAATCTACTTTTGAAACTTAATTTTTTTTTTGTCTTTTTTAAACTTACTTAATTTGGGCTTCCTTCGCTGGCTCAGGTTTCAATACAAGCACTCGCGTCAAACAACAACTTTGCAGCCTTGCATAACAAATAACTATTATCCTTCGAGGCAGGCTAAGGTGTAGTTTAACTAAATAAAAAATGAATATCCGTCACAATCTCATGCCAATAATACTGCAGTAAAATCAAAAGTTACTTTGGAAATGAAACTATTTTTCCGACTTTAAATCGCGTATATTTGTTTTTTTCAAACAAACCAACGTTTCGGGCCCTTTACAGGTCCATGGTCACGGTAAACTAAAAAAAATTACCTCTAATCATGACAATGATTAATCTTGTAACACTGTGAATGAATAATTAATTACAGACACTGTATTTGGAATGGTTAACTAACATCATCATACTTTTCAATGTGATCATAACATGCGCATTTATCGCAGCTAGTTATTTTGAAAGTAAGAATAGCAGGACTGATAGTAGGTGTGGAGGTGGAAAAGCTAAATTTTTTTTGTAATGAAATGATCTCGATTATCGTAGGGTCTTCTTCTTATCGTAGCAATCATACACTGTATTATTGTGGCCCAGAAGTTACTGCCGCTACCTGCGTCACCAGTAGCAGCCGCCATGCTGAAGTGTGGGACATGTTTGCCATCATGTTGAAAGAATTTGCCAATCAACGTAACATATTGCCCAGCGTGCGCCAGACGCATAGATAACATGATATTACGCCATTGCGAGGTGCACCCCAACCGGAGGGTGAAATATACATTTCGTGTTTTTTTTTTATAATATCTAGAGACGGGACGAACAAGTCGTGCGCCTGATGGCAAACTACACGCCTGACCATAACAGTTGCAGTGCCACTTAGATCTTAAATCGCAATTATCTGAGGGGCACTGCCACTGCGCCCGTCACTCTGAGATAAGTTGACAAGTCCCATGTGCCTGAAATTTCACCAGCACTCTTACCATGCAAAACCGAAACCACAGTAATGCTGACATTACTGCTTGGTGGCAGAAATATGTATGAAAATGTTTTTTGAGTTTGCATTAATTACAAAAATAATTAGTGAATATCGAGTTCTTAGGTTTTCGCGATTGTTACACATAGGAAATGAAACTATTTTTCCGGATTGAAATCGCGTATATTTGTTTTTTCAAACAAACCGACGTTTCGGGCCCTTTACAGGTCCCATGGTCACGGTTAAATAGTTTCATTAAATAGTTTCATTTCCTATAATTAGTGAAGTTAATATATTTTCAATACAAATAAAAGAAGTAGTCGTTTAATTAACAAATTTTCATGATAGCACAAAAATGCAAATTACAATTTCGATTTAACGACGTGTGGGTGTGTTTCCTTGAAGACTTCTTTTTTCAACAAACCTTCATAGAGCTTCGAAACTGTTGGGTATTTGCTGATGTCTAACTGCGTTCTGTAACAAATTAAGAATCTGTATGTAACTTTGTTATTTCAAAGTTTCTTGTGGAACTAGGTACACGATCTTGGCAGCCTCATTGTGCTTATTGGTTAACCTTGTTGGTTATTAACTAGGGTAATAAGTTATAGCTTTAGGCAGGTTGTTGTAGCTTCTTACTTGTATTCTGTAGCATATCTAACATGTTAAGAGAGTGTATGAGTGGATCCTCCTGAGATGAATCTAAATGATTGTTTTTTTCACATAACATGTACTTTCTTCGCATATGTGTACGTAGGTATTATGTTCCTCACTTACAAAAAAATAGTTATTACTTGTTATGCAAGGCCGCAAAGTTGTTGCTCGAAGCGAGAGGTTAAAAAATAGAACCCTGAGCGTAGTGAGGGTTTCAAGCCACGAGACGCAAAACAACTTTGTTGCCGAGCGTATGTATGGGGGTTAAGTAGCTCGCGTCCGTAGGCTGTGTACCCTCGAGACCCTACACGTGACCCCTGGGTGGTGCCAAATAAGCTACAAACTCCGGTGGTAGACCTTGGTCGTGGCTGGTGACCACCCTCTGGGCGAAGCCTAGCCGCCAAACAGCTATAGCTGTGTTCCGGCTTGACGCCCAGAGTAGCCGCTCTAGAGTGAAGGGTCTGTACAGTTGCACTGCACTGATTTGGTTGATCTCGGGGCTCCCTTGTTGTTGCGCTGGGAACCTAGATGCGGAGGGTAGCGGGATCCGAAGCACGGTGCTCCGCTGGCCGACCGCAGGTAGTAGGGGGCCCAATTAGCTGACTAGCCTCCAGTGAAAGGCTGCCCCGCCAACTCGCGAAAAATCCCGGGGTGCTCCATCGTGCCGGTTGGCGACCGGATGAAAGGACCCGATGGCCACTCCCGGGGGGGTTCGGGCGTCCCCGCGCGCTCCAGTCTAGTTTCCCATCGGCGTACCATATAGGGTATGTGCCGCATGACTTTCAGTAGTAGTGTCTCGTACAACTGCCTTCGCTCTCCCCATTCACTCTAACCCTAATATGAAAAGGTCAAGAAAATTGAGGAAGGCTAAACAGCGGATGCACGTCCTTTCACTTAAAGTGCACCTCTCGAACATCCGAGGTCTGCACTCCAATCTCTCATCTGTCCACCACCATCTTGAGACTGAAAGGCCTCACATGCTCTTCCTCACGGAGACCCAAATTAGATGTCCTTCGGACACGGCGTATCTGCATTACCCAGGTTACATTCTGGAGCACAAATTTAAGCAGCGCGCTGGTACCTGCGTTTACGCTCGTGATGACATCTGCTCTAAATGTCTCCGTGACCTTGAAGACCCCGATCTCTCTGTAATGTGGGTTCTGGTAGACACTGGACTGGAACAAATTGTCTACGCCAGTGTGTATCGGTCGCATTCTGGAGACCCGGAGACGACTAGGTTGTTCAACCATCTCTGCAGCTCGGCGGAAACAGTCCAACAACGGTATCCTAAAGCACAACTTGTCTTTTTGGGGGACTTTAATGCCCATCACCAGGAATGGTTGTTCCCATACCAAAAAACCGACCACGCTGGAAGAGAGGCGCGGGCATGTGCTCTATCGCTAGACCTCACCCAGCTGGTGAGTTGCGCTACCAGGGTACCGGACGTTGACGACCACACTGCCAATTGCCTGGATCTTCTGCTGACAACCGATCCAGACCGCTACCAAGTATCGGTCTCATCCCCACTAGGGACATCCGATCACTGTCTGGTGAAATCTGTATCTGTCTACTCCCCGCCCGATCTCAGTACGGGAAGTACTAGGAGGATGTGGCGATACAAGTCAGCAGATTGGGATGCGATGCGGCATTTCTTTGCATCTTATCCCTGGCGGCAGCTGTGCTTCTCTTCTGACGATCCGACGTGCTGCGCGTCTGCCGTCTCTGAGGTGATTATTCGGGCTATGGAATACTTTATTCCGTATTTCGAAGTCTCCTCCAGCGGCAAAGCTCGCCCTTGGTTTAACGCTGAGTGTGCTTCTGCGGAAACGCTAAAGCAATCTGCGTACCAGGCTTGGGCTGATGCTCGAGATCGCAAAGCACCGGAAACCCTCCGTCTGAAGAAAGCCTTTAATAAAGCCGCTAGATCCTGCAAAAAAGCGATACGGAAAGCTCGCTTCAGCCATATTAGTCGTATTGGGGTCAGGTTAGCTTCATACCCATCGGGGAGTAAAGCATTCTGGTCACTCGCTAAATCGGTCGAAGCGAATTTCTGCAGGTCATCCCTTCCGCCTTTAATGAGAGATGACGGATCGCTGGCTCATACCGCTGAAGAGAAAGCAAATCTTTTTGTTTCTCTTTTTGCTTCCAACTCCCGTCTTGACGCTACTTTGCAAACACCACCTACACTACCTCGATGTGACTCGGAAATGCCCGAAATCACTATCCGTCAAAAAGAGGTGTTGAAAGCTTTACGCAAATTAGACGTCAACAAAGCCAGTGGCCCTGACGGAGTCCCAGCGATTGTCCTGCGGAACTGTGCACCCGAGTTGTCTCCGGTGTTGACTCGCCTGTATCGCCTCTCTATGAGTTCTGGACAAGTCCCGAAATCCTGGAAGCTTGCAAATGTACAGCCTGTACCTAAGAAAGGTAGCCATGCCGACCCATCTAATTATCGACCTATCGCAATCACCTCCATACTCTGTAAGACTATGGAGCGTGTATTGAACAGCCGTCTCCTTGGATACCTCGAAGATAACGATCTCCTCAGTGATCGACAATATGGTTTTCGCCGTGGACGATCTACTGGGGATCTTCTTGCGTACGCCACACATTTATGGAGCGAGGCTGTCGAGAAACGAGGTGAATCGCTTGCCGTGTCTCTCGACATATCAAAGGCCTTTGATAGGGTTTGGCATGATAGCCTGTTAAACAAGCTTCCAGCTTACGGAATTCCTGTTGGCTTTTGCACATGGATAGGCGATTTTCTGAAGGATAGGTCAATCCGTGTAGTTGTAGATGGTTACTCGTCTGCTCCTCATGGTATAAATGCCGGTGTACCTCAGGGATCTGTCCTCTCCGCCACTCTATTCTTGCTGCATATCAACGACCTGCTGCTGATGCCCGGTATCTTTGGGTACGCAGACGACAGCACAGTGGCGGTGAGTTATGTGCCAGATGCCCGAGACAACAGTGAAGAGATCCGGTGTAAGCGAGAGGCGATGGTCACCCGGTTGAACCTGAGTCTGAAAGCTGCTTCCGACTGGGGAGATGCTAACAGGGTCAGGTTTAATGCGGCTAAAACACAGGCGTGTCTTTTCTCATCAAAACGGAGTCCCCTACACCTTACTCCGACTTTCCGAGGTGTATCCGTGCCGATAAGGGACCACCTTGAGCTACTTGGTCTGGACTTATCATCCAACCTCAACTTTGGGCGATACATCGAGTGCTTGGCAAAAACTGCTGCCAGAAAACTAGGCATACTTTTCAAGGCCAGGCGGTACTTCACACCTGAACAGCTTTTAAATCTGTATAAAGCACAAGTTCGATCCTGTATGGAGTACTGCTGCCACCTTTGGGACGGCTCTGCCCAATACCAGTTAGCTGCCTTGGACTCGGTGGAGCGTAAAGCAAAGAGACTTATTAACAATAATCCTCTTGTGGAGTCGAAGCTCCAAAATCTCGATCATCGCAGAAAAGTAGCCTCCTTGTCGGTTTTCTATCGGATACATTTCGGGGAGTGTGCGCAGGAACTTTTCAATTTGGTTCCGCCCTCACCGTTCCTCCTTCGGTCGACTAGAAGGTCCGGAGCACTCCATTCTTATGTCGTTGATATTCCACCTATTCGCACTAAGCGCTTTGCCTCCTCCTTTCTGATGCGTACGGCAAAGGAATGGAATGCTCTACGGCATATGTATTTCCCGAAAAGTACAATTTGGGGCTATTCAAGGCTAGAGTGAATAGGCATTTTTTAGGCAAACGCGTCCCATCGTCGGTCACATCGTCGCTTAACATCAGGTGAGATTGTGGCCAAGCGTGTGTCTATTATATATTAAAAAAAAAAAAAGAGCTAAACACACAACTTTTCACCTCACTACAGCGAAGAAAACGGTAGATTAAATAAAAACACATTTCAAAAATCTTTTCCACGCTTATACAAAACTAATGAAAATGAGATAGAAAGCCATTCCGAGCGAGTGAGGTGAAAAGTAAATTGTCATACCACGATGAAACAATTAATTTCACGTTCAAGTGTGAACTTTAGTTTGAATCGCGGGAAGCAGTAGAGCTCATTGTGAAAGAGTTCGTCCAGGAAAGTACTGCCACCTATTTCTGTTGCCAAGCACTAATGTGAGCATTACTGCGTTCCGGTTTTGAAGGGTAAAGAGCACCCTTACACCAGCAGGTGAGATTACAGACACGTGGGACTTGTCAACTTATGTCTCGGGTGACAGAGTGCTACAGTGCCACTCAGAGCTTTTGAGCACAGGCGTCTCTTATACCGGGGGTACACCTTGTTTGGTGCGTCACTTGGTATCATAAATAAACGCATGTCAGGCACACCGGAATGTTTAGGTATAGTTAAACGTATGTAATATACATGACATGTTACTTATGTATACCTATATTACGACGTGTCCAAATTGGAATTTGTGAATAGTTTTGTAATAAATGAATTTAATACGACTAGTATGTCGACAACTGCGAACGGTCATGTATTACATTGGAAAACATTTGAGACCAAATAGAGACGTCTTCAATATACTGTGATGTGTTAAAGTCATTATTACTTATCACGTAATGTACGGAACCTCATTACACGAACTCTAGGTGCACTTGGCCGGTTGAACTTTTAATACGTGGAAGGTTTTATTCACGAGTTTAAATGTTTTAATGTATCGTTTTCTTATAAGTATAGAAAATTTTTAAAGTTCATCTCTATAGTAGTCTTTGGTAATGTGCTAGGATCGTAGAGGGAGAAGGGCTGGGGTGGAAAAAAAGAAAGGGATTAATTTGTATTGATGTGACTCTAGTATATTCTTCAA